CAGGCATGTTCCTTCTTGGTGTTGCTTATATCCTCCCGTTGATATTGATTACAACAACACCGACGACCATGTTGAACTCATAGCTTCACCTGTCATGTATGTAGGTGCCACCGGCAGAGCTTGAAGCCCTCCTCGTGAGCCATCCATCCATTGCGGATGCCGCTGTTGTCCCGTAAGTAGTGCAATTAATTTCGTAAACTAAACACAACCTGCACGATATCATTATTTTATATCTCTCTGAACTCTGTGCATGTCTTTTATCAGTCAATAAGATGCTGTCGCCGGTGAAGTTCCAGTTGCATTTGTGGTCCGGTCAAATGGGTTTGATCTTACTGAGGAAACTGTAAAAGAATTTATAGCCAAACAAGTAGAAACATGCGTTAATTTATTTGAATTTTCACCTTTTTTTAAGGTTCATGTCAGTAATCATATCAATGACAAAGAAAAAAATATAAAAGATGATGGTTCTTAATATTTGATCTAGCCAACGATGCTTGCTCAAACGGGTGGTTACTGGTTAGACCGTTCAACCCATGAACCAGTTACCAAAACAATTTTGTATCTGGTCCAAATTTGACAACATGATTTCATGTGTAGTAATCTGTGCGTGTGGGACTGTGAGACTGTCAATGGACCATTAACAGACGTTGTCCAACTATGACATTAATTGTTTTTAAGAACAAAACTAACCCTGATCCTCTGTTAAATAATTGTTTGAAAAAGAAAATAGGTAGAAAAAAAAACAAAAAAGAAAATCTTCTTTTATTCTCTTCCAACCCAAAGGCCCTAAGCCCATTTGGATGAAAAGATCGATGGGTGGTAGTATAATAAATGTCATCTTCACAAAATTTTCGTTCATGGCAAACTCTAATGGAGGGGTAGTATATTAAATTTATAAAAACTGTTCATCTCCTAACAGTGGATGTCCAAGACACCAACAAAGGGGTCTCTGTAATCCAGGGTACGTTTTAGAGAAACGGGAAAGTGAAGGGCACTACTGTACTAGGGTAGTTTTAGATAATAACCCTAATAACATAAGTTAAATTTATATTAATATATTACAAAGATACTCCCTGTTTAATATATTTTTTTTCTCATGATATATTGGAATTGGTTCTACACATTTATTTATTGGGCCATAGCAGATACCGATACATTGACGGCCCATGTGCATGAGACGATTAACTTGCCTTTAGGCTAAGTTTGACAGTGCTAAAAAATAAGTGACTATTCGAATAAACACTTATTTTGAGCCTGTAATATATCAATAAGCCCTTATATGTATTTGGGAAATAAGTCTGAACTAACTATTTATTTTCAGGTGGTGTTTTACAAAATAAACTACTCAATAGATCTTTGGCTTGACCCCAAATCCTTATGATGTCTGATTGGATCTTTCTTCCTCTCTAATCAACAGGTGGTGTTTTACAAAAAGCTGCACAAGTTCTACTTTGTCCATGCCATTCCCAAGTCCCCGCTAAAACTTGAGACAGACTCCCACACAGAAATTAAATCTTCATGATTGATTGATTGTTTCAGCTAGTAGAGGCCTAGAAGCCTTGTTACCTCTATTTACCTATTAAAAGTGAGTTTACAGGGGAAGATGCAGTGCCATCAACCGGGTTGAGAAGTGTAAGGACCTTCCAAATGCAATGTGCCATTAGTGTTACTTCATTTTCTTTGCATTTGCATTGTAATGCAATTCTGTTTTGTACTTTAATCAGATACTCTTATAATAAAGAGAGGAAGAGATTTTCCCTTTCAATTGATTATTTTACTTGTTAAACAATTCTCTTTTGTTTTCATTCATAGCCATCTGGTGGATGCAAAGGAATCTTGTGCTTTTGAAATGCATGATTGGGTGATAGCTGAATCTTTTGATAATAGTAAAACATACTCCTTTTCAACATTAAATAGTAAAACATACAATTTTTTGGTAATAAGGATCTTTATATTAATAATAGTGTTTCTTAGTAATATGAAGGTTTTAAATTTTGAAAAATTTAAGGCTCAGTTGGGAAGGAGTACAAATACAAATATGCACAGTAGAAATACATACAAAATAATATAAAATACAAAGTTTTGCACTCTACATATTTGTATTTGTACTCCTTTCAAACTGAGCTTTCGGAAGGAGTACAAATACAAATGTATAGAGTGCAAAATCTTATATTTTGTATGTATTTGTGTCGTACATATTTGTATTTGTATTCTTTTCAAATTGAGCCTAAGGCTGCGTTTGGAAACGATGCAAATAAGTATGATTGCAAATATGTAGAGTGTAAAACGGTTCATATAAATTGTAAAGTTGGGTTAGTTTTGCACTGACAAATTTATCTTCTTACCAACAGACTTTTGGTTGTAATAGATGCAAACATGAATTTCAATAAAGCATATACTTTTTTTTATCAAAAGCCCACTTGAATATAAATTTACTCCATTTTATTGATACTTTTACATCTAATTATCAATGTAAATATGCATTGGTCTGTCATTTGTCAATGCATAAATGTAATGTTGCCAAATACAGGCAAAAGTGAACCAGAGTGCAAATTTACCCTGAATTGGAATTTACACTCCATTTACATCGTTACCAAGCACAAAAGCAAATATGTAGAATGCAAAACCTTATATTTTGTATTATTTTATATGTATTTACACTATAAATATTTGCATTTGTATTCCTTCCAAACTGAGCCTTAGGTACAATTTTAGACCCTTGGTGTGTAATTATTTTCTTTTAAAAATTTCAAATATATTTTAGTGAAAATATTCCAAAATTTGGGACAGAATAGATGGCCAGTGAATAAATCTGTGGTGCTTAGGTTTGACAGAAATAAAGCGACGAACCCATTTGGTTCCTTCACCTTTTACTTGCAATTTCTCTTTTTTTTTCCTTTTATTTTTTCCATGCAATTTCTTTTTTTCTTTTTGCTTTTTTTTCCCAGGGAGGAGGGTGGATCGCCTTTACAGGAATAGCTTCATCCATATGGTTTTCCAATGCATTTGATTTGATTTCAATTGCATTAATTGGTTGCAACTCATCATATTAAAGGCATTTTAGTCATATACAAGGTTTTGCATTGAACAACTCAGTTTGAAAAGAGTGCAAATACAAATATGTAGGGTGAGTTTTCGTTTGTACAAATGCAAAATTCATATAGTTTTGCATTGATTAATTTACTTTTTTACCAAACGACTTTTAATTGTAACGGGTGTAGATATGAATCCCTATCTTGGGATCTACCTTTATTTTACGTTGACCAACTTTGATTACAATGTTTGCATCCATAAACTTTACTCTCATTTTAGATGCAAGCATGTCTTGAAATTTATGAAAATTATTCACTTTCAGTATATAAATCCATTATTCCCAAACACCAGCAAAATAGAAGAGAGTGCATATATGCACTGAACCAATATTTGCATACTTTCCAAATAAAGCCTTAGGCTCAGCTTGAAAGGAGTACAAATGCAAATTTGTAGAGCGTAATACCTTGTATTTTGTATTATTTTGTATATATTTACACTCTACAAATCTGCATTTGTACTCCTTCCAAACTGAGCCATAATAAAAAAAAGAAACTTTTAGAGGCAATTCTAAAAGTTTATCTTCTCTGAGCTCCGTTGCCCCACAGTTTCACCAATTTCTACTGGGCTCTGATCTGCTGCCACCAGTTGTTCCCACATCCCGACCCATGAGACATTACAGCGGTCTATTGTGCATATTTTCCCTATCGTTCATGGGAGATGCTTCTAATACAGGGCAGTGGTACTCTATGGGTAGAGATGTAGGAATAACTCCAATTTGTGGGTAGCAGATTCGGATTGATTTCTAGTTGAATTTCTTCATTTTTAACTATAATATTAAAGATATTAAGAACATGATAAGGAACCCAATAAATAGAAAAATCTTTCTTTTGAATATCTTAAAATTTCTATCCATCCATTAATACGTAATAAATAAAGGCAATTACAACCAAAGATAATTATTTCTCCAGTTTAGCCTGAAAAGAGTTAAATTAACTCTTTTAAGAGATGCAAGATTATTGACTTTAATACCAAATAGGCATCACTAATTGGGAACATAGAAGATGGAAAAAGTGAGTTCTTTCAAGATTTGGTTCCACTCCAAAGGTATATTTACAACTAAATTATCTGACCTTTTAACCGGGGATCCAGAATGTCCAAATTGGGCCTTATTGGTGATGATACTTACATCTTGGACTGCCCTTTGATAAAACAAATTTCGACTACCATTATTGACAGATTGCAGAAAGAGTTAGATGCATGTCTACTCTATAAGAGAAGCTAATCAACTTGCTGTTTTTATTTTTTTTTTATTTTTTAGACTGAGGTAAAAAAATCCACACACAGAAAGTAGTCCTGTTCATGGGCTACTCTGACCCAGCCCGTTATGTGCTATAAACATTAGGCCCAACTATTTTTTTGGCTTGGGCTCAGGCTTTTCAAAATAAGTCCAGTTTATGCCCAAACCCAGCCTCTTAATATTATATACATATTTACATACATACATATATAAAATATATATAATAATTAATAAAACATTTTATACATAATAATAATAATATTTAGGACTTTTTACAGAAAAATTAATAAAGTTTTAGCTATACAGAAGGTCAAGTTTTTTGACAAGTCAGTCCTACCCTCTTAAGGCCATTCTTTTTGAACTGCAGAGAGATGGCTCCAAAGAATATCTTGATAGGAACTCTTACAGACAAGCTTTTTTTCTTTTTTAATCTTTTATTTTCTCTCATCAATAAAAATATCCTCAAACTGTTTCCTCCTTGTAAGAAGAAACTAGGAGTGTTATTGCTCTATGCAAAAACACTCAACTAAGGGAATCGTTCGAGACCATTAAGACGAGTTCTCAAAACCGCCCAACAGGAGTACAGGACTCAAGATCTTTTGCGGCTTGTCAAATTCTAGATTCAAGTGGACAAGGAACTTTTTAATCAAAATTAATGAAGGATTCTATAGGATCATTGTCAGCTAGATAGAAAAAATAAATTAAATTAAAGGGAAATTTTCAGATTAATACCCTGTACTTTGGGCTAGTGCCATTTTGATCCCCGAATTTTAAAATGCGACAATTCAGTATCCGAACTTTCAAAACATGACAATCTAGAACCTACTGTTAACTAGCTGTTAACCAGCCATTAAAAGGCATTTGAAAAAGACACAAGTGCCCTTTGAGTGTCTTCTAATTTTCTTTATCAACCATCCAAACATTGACAAAAAAATTAACAACCTCAAATCCTTGCCTCTTCTATTCAAGAAACTTGGTGTCACTAGAATGCCCACTCAAATGTGACTCCAACTTTCTTGAATGGAAAAGGCAAGGATTTGGGACTGTTAATTTTTTGTTAACGTTTAGATGGTTGATAAAGAAAATTAAATAACATTTGAAGGACATTTGTGTCTTTCTCAAATGCCACTCAACGGCTGATTAACAGTTAGTTAACAGTAGGTACTGGATTGTTACATTTTGAAAGTTTGAATACTGAATTGTTGCATTTGAAAGTTCAGGGGCCAAAGTGACACTAGACCCAAAGTATAGAGTACTAATCAGGAATATACCTAAATTAAAAGGTTTGGTTCTCCAACCAGGAAAAACCCTAAAAACTCAAAATTGTATCCTTCTAGTTAATTAGCGGTCCTTTGAGATCTGTTTAAAGAAGCAGACCAACAATCCGGTTATGAGATTGCAAGCCCTAAGAATACTGACTCAAAATCCGAATAAACTCCATGACAAACAATGAATCTCATTGGTGGCAGCCACATATATCCTCCATTAATATACACAAATTTTCAGGCAGATTGAGTCTACGAGACTTTCCAGAGTACAAATTAGTAGTTCTTTCTTTTATTCTTTAATCTTGTTTATTCCAGTGGTTTACATATAAAATACCTAAGAAGTTTAGAGGTGAATTTAGCATTGAAGTTCTGTTAAATTAGCAAAGCTTGCTAATGATGCGCGAGCTGAGAGTTTGAGAAATAGGAGAGTTAGAATGCACTTAATCGCGCATACCTGGGACTTGAGGGCCAATGCCCTTATATAGTTGAGTTGTCGTGGGTCTCACGAAACAGCTCTGGGATCCTCGGCTCGCATAAATGGGATCCATTCCACTTTAGAAGGAGAGTAACGTATCAGTCAATAAAGTTTATCATTACCTTCCGATCCGGGCGGGGAGAGGATAAGGCCTACTGTTACGTGGCGTGATCTTGGGGGATTCGGAGTCCACTGAGAAGCTTCTGGAGTCGATTACGTGTCACTTCGGTATTCGGGTGCCGAAGTGGCTTTGGTACCGAGGTGCCCGAACACTCGGGCTCCCAAACTACTAACAAGGCTCTCCTTGTTGAGTTGTCATCCTACTGGCAGGTCGTGTCCATGTGTCCTTTAGTTACTAGGTTGGGCCAAATCACCCCTCATCACTTGCCTAGACCAAAGACAATCAATAGATGAAAATGAAGATAGAAACTAAAGAGATGATGGCCTTATTTTTCTTTTAATAAATTAATAATATATAGATGAAAATGAAAATGGAAAACAAAGAATGGAAAGCAAGATTGTGTGTGTGAGAGAGAGAGAGAGGGTTGGTTAGGCCGAAATTGCCTTAATTGGCAGGATT